TGGGAAAAGGAAAACCTCTTCAGCAAATGGTGCTGGAAAAACTGGATTTCCACATGCAGAAAGATGAGTCTGAACTCTACCTCTCACCTTTGACAAAAATCAAGTCAAGGTGGATCAAAGATCTAAATCTAAGGCTTCAAAATATAAAACTGTTCCTTCCTAGAAAACACTGGGGAAACTCTGAGAGACATTTGGGGTAGGCAAAGACTTCTTAAATAAGACCCCCAAAGCACAGTCGATAATCCCCAAAAGAGACAAGTGAGATTACATCAGACTAAGAAGTTTCTGCATGACAAAAGGCACAGTAATGAGTGTGAATCGACAGCCCTCAGAGTGGGAAAATATTTTTGTAAACTCTGCATCAGATAAGGGATTGATAACCAGAATACATAAGGAACAAAAGAAGCTGTTTGGAAAAAAGATGATGAACCCTATTAAAAGATGGGAGAAGGAGTTGAAAAGAACACTCACTAAAGATGACATATGAATAGCCAGAAGGCATATGAAAAAATGCTCAACATCCCTCATCGTAAGGGAAATGCAGATCAAAACAACAATGAGATACCACCTAACCCCAGTCAGAATGGCTAAGATGAATGGGAAAATATTTTTGTAAATTATGCAACAGATAACCAGACTGATGACCAGAATCCACAAGGAACTCAAGCCGCTGTTTGGAAAAAAAGATGATCAACCCTATTAAAAGATGGGAGAAGGAGTTGAAAAAAGCACTCTCTAAAAATGACATACAAATAGCCAAAAGGCATATGGAAAAAATGTCCAACATCCCTCATAGTAGGGAAAATGCAGATCAAAACAACAATGAGATACCACCTAACCCCAGTCTGAATGTCTAAGATTGAAAAAACAGAAAATTATAAGTGTTAGCTAGGGTGTGGTGAAAGTGGAACAGTCTTACACTGCTGGTGGGAATGTAAATTAGTCCAGCCGCTGTGGAGAACAATTTGGAGATTCCTCAAAAATCTACAAATAGAACTACTGTATGATTCAGCAATCCCACTCCTTGGTATCTACCCAAAGGACAGAAGAATTCTTCATTGAAAAAGTGCTTGCACATCGATGTTTATTGCAGCAGTATTGACAATTGCTAAGACATGGAACCAACCGAAATGCCCCCGAACAGATGAATGGATTGAAAAACTATGGCACATATTCTCTATGGGATACTATTCAGCCATAAAAACAACAAAACCCTGGCTTTGACTGAAAGTGTTAGAAAATGCAAGATCTACTGCTGAATGAAGCAAGCCAGGCTATGAAGGAGAGACATTGTATGTCCCAACTTAATATATACACCAAGTGTCCGCACTCTATAACTGAAATTGATTGACTGAAGGATATACAAACACAGTAAGTGGGTGTTAATATCAGATATAGTGTGTGTGAAAGAGTAGGGCCTGAGGAAGGACATTTAGAAGCAAAATACGGAGGCAAAGCATTAATGGGACAAAGAAATGTGCTATCTGTTGAAGCTATTTTACAGTTTAATCAACTGGACTAGGGAGAAATGTTCACATATTGAAATATTCACTTTTTAAGCGAAATAATGTCATTGAATTTATAAAAGAAAATAAACTTTAAAAAAAGAAGGAAAAAAAAATACATCTTCCAATGATTCTTATATCAGATTCCAGAAACTTTCCAAAAGCGAAAATAAAGTTCCTACAATTTTATATAAAAGATATTCACTAGGAGCATTCCACATTGACAGCTTTTATTTTTTGAATGAAGGATCTAATATACAGTGTAATCCAACTACTGCTAACTATGATGAATGGGTGATTTAATTATAATTGAAGTTAACTTATTAAAAAAAAATTAAGAGGCTGACCAAAAAGGGGGACGTAGGTGAAATTGTTAAACCAAACTATATTGGTCTGAGAAGACCTCCATACTCACATACCTAATTTCTTGTAAACAAACCACAGTCTCACCTAGGAGTCTGCTTCCTAACTAACTGGGGTATCCTAACCACTCACAGCAGCCGTGCTTCAGTCATCACAGACAGCCCACCCTTTAAACCATGTTCACACTGGCAAACACAAGCTGTAACCAGTCCAGCTGCTTCTCTACTTCATTTCCCTCACTTCCATTTTCATATATCACTTCCCCTTCCCTGCCCATAAAAGTTATTAGACCACATAGCCCTTTAGAGTTCCTTAGAAGCCATTCTATGGGATGCCCAATTTGTGAATCCTTTTTTGTTTGATTAAACGCTGCTAAATTAAAAATAAATAAGCAAATAAAAGAAAAAGTCATTGTATGATCACAGATTGTTTTCTGGCTCAAAAAGCAAGGTGAAGGTCAGCCCCATGGCCTAGTGGTTACGGAAGTCAGATCCTATATGGTCAACAGCTCATTTTGAGTACTGGGCCTAGTGGCTTGAAAAAATACACTGGGTAAGTATGCATGTACCTAAAATCAAAAAAGGATGAAGAAAATGGGAAAAGTGGTTTGTGGCATGACCATGCCTTACTGATGGGTGCTTTCTCCTCCTCACCTTCTCTGTTTCTCTCTCCAGCAAGCACAAATGCCTTCTAGTAAATTTTTAAAGTTTAAAAAATAAAAAAATAGAAAAACAGCGACCAGCAGTTCGTATAATGGCTATGTCGCTGGACTCCCATGTAGTCGACCATGGTTTGAGTCCTGGACCCAGTGGCTTAAACTCACGCCGGGCACATGTGCATGTGTGTCCAAGATCCTGAAAGGAGAATGGAGGAGAAGGGATTGTGGTGTGGCCATCCACTCTGAGGGGTGATTTCTCACTTTCTGTCTCTGTCTCTCTCTGTCTTTCTGGCGAGCACACACGCCCTATAGCAAAAACTTCTCAAAAAAAAAAAAAAAAGAAGAAGAAGAAGAAAAGAAAGAAACTAAATAAATAAAACAGCTATAAGAAACATTTGGGACCAGCAGTTAGCATAATGGCTATGTCGCTGGACTCCCACGTAGTCAACAGCGGTTCGTGTCCCGGACCCGGTGGCTTAAACTCACGCCGGGCACATGTGCATGTGTGTCCAAGATCCTGAAAGGAGAATGGAGGAGAAGGGATTGTGGCATGGCCATCCACCCTGGGGCGTGATTTTTCGCTTTCTATCTCTCTGTCTCTCTCTGTCTGTCTGGCGAGCGCATGCACCCTATAGCAAAAAACCTCTCCAAAACAAAAAACAAAAAACAAAAAAAAAACAGCTATAAGAAACATTTAAAAGGAAAATTTCAATATACTCTAATAGAAAATATTAAGAAATTCTAATTAATTTTCTTAGGTATAATAATGATTTTATAGGCATTTGGATCTTATCGTTAGTGTTGAGATATCTGGAGACAGGGGCCAGCAGATAGTATAGCAGTTATGTTGCTGGACTCCCACATGGCCAACTGCAGTTCAAGTCCTAAACCCAGTAACTTGAAACTCACACCAGGTATGTGTACGTGTGTGTTCAAGATCCTGGGAGGAGAATGGAAGAAAAGGGATTCCAGCATGGTCATCCCCCCTGGGGGGTGATTTCTCACTGTTTGTGTGTGTCTCGCTCTTGCCTGGCAAGCATATGCACACTAAATCAAAAACCCCTAAAAAAGGAAAAAAGATATCTGGAAATGAAGTGTCATAATGTCTACAATTTGTACACAGCCTCTGACAAAAATAATTAAAAATTTTTTAATTCTTTGAAAAGTTAATAATAGAGTTGGCCCCATTGCCTAGTGGTTCAGGGAACTGGTTCCCACATGACCAATTACAGATCATTTCCCAACCTCAGTGGCTTGAAAAACATGGGCCAGCAGGTGGCATAGTGGTTAAGGTGCCGGACTCCCATGTGGCCAACCACGGTTTGAGTCCTGGACTTGGTGGCTTGATAATCACTCAAGGTGCTTGTGTGTGGGTGCTCAAAGTCCCAGAGGAGAATGGAGGGGAAGTTATTGCAGCATGGCCATTCCTCGTGGGGGGTGAGTTCTCACTTTCTCTCTCACTGTCTTTGGTAATCACTGGCACTCTATGGCAAAAACCTAAACAAACAAACAAACAAACAAAAACAAACAAACCCATGCTGGACACATGTGCATGTGTGCCCTAAATACTGACATACTGACAGGATGGAGAAAAGGAGAAAGGATTGCTATGTGACCATACATAGCTGGACCAGCTTTTTCTCTTTCTGTAGCTAGTGCACACACCTTCTGGCAATTAAAAAAAAAAAAAAAGCAACAGTAACATATAAGCAAATTATCACACTTACTCTGAGAATTAATTCTGTAGCTGTATTAAACTTAAGATAAAGGAGCTCCTGCAGTTGTAGAATTGATCCTTGGTACTGAATTATAGCTTTGTCTTGCAAATCATATTGCGGTGTTTCAAATAAAGTTAATTTTAACTTCTCGATTAACTATAAAATAAAAAAATATTTATATTAATCCTCTGACAAAGAAAAAGTGAAGAAGGGGG